ACATCTTTTCGTTGAAATTAGGACGGTCGGAATTCTTATCATGCTAACAAATAGCCATTTTGGCAAGTCCTCATCTTTGTGCATATGGATTCACAGAGAAAAGGAAAAAAAAAACCGGTGCGCTTCATGGTCTTTTCATTCAATATTCCAAGCGTTATGTTTGTCAGTTTTGGTTGAATTCGTTAAATTCTATAGTTTGGATTTAGAGATCGATATTGCGCTAAGTGGTAAGTAAATTAATTAAGCACAGCTGTCTTGTAGTTAATTTGGCCATGGATACTGATTCATCCAATATTGGTTAGTACACAGCAATAATTTTCCTTTTCACTGACGGTATTTTTTCTTCATGTTCTCCGGTGAGTAATAAAACTACCGGTTCCTGGGTATGCTTCTCTAATTTGTTGCATGACCGTGCCAAATGTTATTTTACATATCTGTTAATTTCAAATCCGAATGTTTATTATTATTATTATTATTTATATACAAGTTGCAATGCTTTAAGCATTGAATATACGAGAAGTCCTAGGCTTACATAATCCTAAGGAATCATTAGCAAGACTTGCTCTAACTTCATCTAGAGGTTCTTCAAAATAATGGAATCCATTGTCTAGCTGGTAAAAACAAGAGGCCATCTTATCTGCACAAGAATTTGTCTCTCAAAGATCACACTCGGAGTCTCTGTTCGGTAACTCAATGCAATTACGGATTAGCTGAGAAATGGAATTAACGCCCCCCTGGATGCTGTAACTTCAGTTTAGCCAATAGTGAATCCGTTTCGATAATGACCTTTCTGTAACCTTACGCCAAGCCAACTGTAAGCCTTCCCAAACTGGAAACAATTCCACTCGGATGACCAAGCTCGTGCCCAACTGTTGTGTGAAGCCGAATACCCAAGAGCCTGATGAATCACGGCATACACCACCCTTCAGCAGGGTCTCCTGGAGCCCCTTTGCTGAGCCATCCACATTAATATTCATATACCCCGGTAGTGGTTTTTCCCATCCAATTAATCTCTCTTGGCCTGGTGTTCTTACGACTGTACTCTCCTGCATAAACCATACTGTTTCATTCAAGTGATATCTGAGCATGGATTCAATAGTTTAGATCCAATCACTGTCACCATCAAATAAACCAATAAATAACCGGAAATATTATTCTCAATCAACACATTTCTCCTTGACAGATTGTTCCATTATAAGTAACCGATCCATATTCTTCCAATGCTACCACAGTTTTTTTTTTTTTTTTTTTTTGAACGGAAAAAAGATATTTTATTATTGTAATGGAGTGCAAGAGTTAATCCAAACCCATATACAATCATACCTTGTAGTTTAGTAACTCTACAGTACAGGTTATTCAGTTTCCTCCCCTTTTTTGGGCAATTACAGCTTCATTCTCTCCCTCGATATTAATCATGCCACAGGATTCGTCACCCAATCGGAGAAGGAAAACG